GGGGCGGGCCCCAGCCATTTAAATTTAAATGAAGCCGCGATTATTTTAATCGCGGCTTCATTTCCCTCTTCCGATCTGGCTAATCTACATGCCTCCGTCGAAGGAGGCATGTAGTCTAGACACACCCCATGTGACCCCTCTGCCAATTGAGCGTATCTGCAGAGTCTCAATCCAGGCTTACAGAAGGGATATCTTCATGGGCCAATAAAACAGACTTCCTTCTTTTGATTGTTTTAAAAAAACGAAGTTATGGACAAAAAGTGTAGCCAAGATATGCCAATGACCAATCACTACTAGATTTTGCTCATGTATCTGGGGAGTCATTCACTTGACCTACAGACTTCTTTCATCTTGTTTAGACATTTTTTCAAAGGGTTGGAGATTTGCTCATTCTACTTTATCTGAGGTAATATTAAAACACATTTTAAAGATATAAACTATGTGTCAAAAATTGAATCCAATGACTTAACAGTGGTTTCATCCACAAAAACCTCACTAAACCAACTTCTGTAAAGCTCTTCAGTTGCCAACAGAATTAGGCAAAGATAACACATACCAAATCATTTCTGTGAGCCCCTCAGAAATTCAGGATCCTTCACAGTAAATCTACAGTGGGGAAGAGTTGAGAGGTGATAGTCATATTTGTAAAGTGCTTTGAGTTCCTCAGCTGAAAACTGCTGGGCTATGGCTACACTGTGAGTTTTCTCAGCAAAAAATATGCTGATGAGGGACTCATTTGCATGAGTCACAATCTCATTTGCATATTTTCTGCCAATCCATTTTTGCCCTGGGGTTTTTGCGCAAAAACAAGCAATGTGGACGTTTTATTTTTGCACAAACACCCCTTTTCCCGCAAGATCCTTATGCCCCCAAAAGAAGGTATACCGCTCATGTGGGAAAAGGGGTTTTTGTGCAAAAATAAAACGTCCACATTGCTTGTTTTTGCGCAAAAACCCCAGGGCAAAAATGGATTGGCAGAAAATATGCAAATGAGATTGTGACTCATGCAAAGAGTCCCTCATTAGTATATTTTTGCTGAGAAAACTTGTAGTGTAGACGTACCCCTAGCAAAGAGTAAAACTTTACCTTATTAAACAGCTTCAGATTTGCTCTTTGAGAACATGAGTAACTCTGTAAAGGGCAGCAAAGTTCTGATACTACAGTGATGAGAGCCTCATAAATACTTAGATGGGTGGTTTGTTTGCGTGGGCGTTTGAACTGCTGGGGCCTGAGAAGCCCTTGAACACTGCTGAATAATGGATGTTGGATATCCAGATTGTGTGTGGTTTGGGCATCTCTCTAATCAAAGGTGTCATGCTGCCAAATGTTTTCTTGTGCCAAGGAGCCCCAATCAGCCCAAGAAGCCAGCTTTGAAGAAACTGGCTTTGCTTGTCCATGGTCTAATCAGAACAGTTGCACAATGTGCGTGATACAGCATTTATTGGGCCTGACATTTACATGTCCCAGCCAAGAAACAGCTGGGGGCAGCATTCTCCTACTGCAAAGAAGAACGGAAGTACTAACTTTCCAACCCTGTTAATAAGTAGTTTGCTCCAAATACAGGAAATACTTTACACTTCTGTTTTCAGCCAAACTGTCCGTATTGAAATGGTGGATTAAACATCCATTTTCTGGGATGGAAGCTCTGAGAACTGTCACATAAATAACCTGTATTCCAGGACCTGCACAATCTCATAGTGAGTGGCCTCCGTGGACAGTTACTTTCCAAAGTTCATTCCAGGCCATATGAAAACTCAGGGACTTCTGAGGATTTCAGGGTTTCCTGGAGGACTCTGGGCCTGAGGCACGACTAATGTCTTTCAGAAGCTATCTTCCTGGAAAGAGGCTTGTCAAAGTCTTCCACTCAGATGGCTGTCTGTCAGCATAGGAACATTTCTGGTGAGACTCAGAACTATATATAATGCTGGTGAATGTGGCCAGTCTTGCCCTGGTTTGTACTGCTGATGGAATGCCTTTTTTCCCTATCTGTGGGGATATGGTGAAGTGTGATTGCATAGATAAGCTTAGTGAGACCACCCAGCCTCCCTTATCTATAAAGAAATGAGCAGTTGTTCACACTCTAAAAAGGAGGCACTAGGGCCCTGAGTCTCTCTCCCTCTTTCTCTATTTTTTTTTTTTTTGTTTTTGGCCACACGGGTTGTTACGCACTAATTTCCTTTAAGACCTGCAATGAAGTCAGTAAACCACAGCCTTCGGCAGGCGCTCTCCATGCTGGTGCTTTCCGCTATGACATGCACTTGACATGTCCATCCTCCGCTTGGCCGTACCAGTTTTTCCCTATCTCACAACATGGACCAAAAAGAGATTCTGCTGCAGAACCTGCACAGGGCCCAAAGCAGGAAACTTAACAGAGAGGAGTTTGCAAATGAGTTTTTGGTAAGTCACCTACCAGTACATTTCTGAGTCTGATTTTATGGGAAGACAGAATTGCTGAAGATAATTCTGAACTGGAATGTAATTATTATTTGTAATGCTTTGTTTTTTTTACTAATTCTAGAATAAAAATTAATTTAAGAACAGCGTTAAAGAGAAAAAAACAGTTTAATAGTTTCCTTCCTAAATGAGGCTGTGTTTAACAATTACCCAGTTGATGCTTCCTGTTTCCTAATTTGCAAATGTATTTGTAGGAATATAGTTTACTTTTCGTGCAAGGCAAAGGGATTATCTGCTTCAATGCTACCACTGTCATGTCTCTAAATTTTGTAAGCCTTTTCCCCTCAACCATCTATCTCAGAGGAAAGTATGAACTGAAGTGGGTCAACACTAAATTACCCACCCAATTGGGTATGTCAGGTGATCACTTGGCTATGTTTCAAACCAGTAGCCCACTTGCCACAAAGAAAATCCAACCTAGGGAGCTGATTGCAGAGAAAATCCCTGATAAATTCCTGCAGTCAATATTTCAAATTGACATTTGGCACCATGATTAGAGCAGGAAAGAGGAAAAAATCAGAAACTAGGTGTTAAAGAATGCTATCCCCTGTCTGCATCACTAAAGTCCATATTGAAAACTTCTAAGGTGTGATGGGCTGCACCAGTTTGCACGGAAATGTGCATTTTATCTAACATGAATGCATAGGCTGTAATGTTTGTTAATCTTTTAATGGACCAACTTCCGTTGGTGACCAAAACAAGCTTTGAGCTTCACAGAATTCTCCAGTTTCATAGGGCACAAAAGTTTGTTTCATTCACCAACAGAAGTTAGTTCAATAAAGGTATTACCTCTCTCACTTTATCTCTCGTGTCCCGGAACCAATAGCTAGAATAACACTGCAAGCAATATTGTTGGCATTTTGCTCTCCCCACCTTGAACAAAAGTTTTCTGTTGCTTCAGGTCACCAGGAGCAAAAGCTGCAACAGACCATCTTTGTCCTAATCTACATTTCAGGACCCCATTTTAAGATACATTTGGCCAGCGGGCTGAGCTGTATGCTTCCCTGCAGTTACATAAGAACAGCCCTATTGGGTCAGGTCAGTGACCCCTCTAGCCCAGTATCCTGTCTTCTGACAGTGACCGATGTCAGGTTCTTCAGATGGAATAAACAGAACATGCCATCATAAAGTGATCCATTCCCTATTGTCCACTCCCAGCTTCTGGCAAACAGGCTAGGGACACTTCAGAGCATAGTTTTGCATCCATGCCCATTCTGGCTTATAGCAATAGTTGGACCTATCCTTATTTAGTTCTTTTTGGAATCTTATTATAGTCTTGAGCTTCACAACATCCTCTGGCAAAGAGTTCCATCGGTTGATTGTGCATTGTATGAAGAAATACTTCTTTTGTTTTAAACAGGCTGACTATTTAGTTTCATTTAGTTACACCTTGTTTTTGTGTTTATCAGAAAAAACAAATAACACTTCCTTATTTACTTTCTCAACACCAGTCATAATTTCATAGTTCTGTTTAATGTTTTCAAGGCCCCAATCTTTACCAGTTGGGCATGGGCTCTTCAGTGTGATCTTAGGAGTGAGGAGGGATTGTCATGTAAATCCAGAATCACTTGTTTAATGCTGACACAATCCTGGGAATTTTGCTGGAATTGTATTTGAGGATTTACCAAGTTAATTGGTTTTGGATTGCTGGAGATTTGCCTTCATAGTAGGCTCTACACTAGCCCCATAATTTGGGTTAGTCCCTGATGCTCTAGGATAAACAGTACCCATTCTTATTGCTCAGCAAGACTTAGAAACTTCAGAAGGGTGGTAAAGCCATTGCTACCACCAGCTTTCAGTACCCCTGAGGCATTTGTAGAACTAGTAATCTGATTCCTGTTCCTAGGAGGAGAGAAGGGGATTGTGAATGGCCAAAGCCGCTGGAAAGAATCTGGAGTCTGCTCAGATGGCTCCCATGTGAGCCGGCCTCCACTATGTCCTGTTGGAGCTGAGTCACTTTAAAAACTTAGGGTTCACCTAGACAGCAGGGCTAAAGTTGAATTAAACTATGCAATTTCAGCCACGTCAATTGCGTAGCTTAAGTCAAAATAACTTATTTCGGCATTTTGCGCTGTCTGCACAGCGGGAAGTCGAAGGAAGAGTACTCTTCCTTCGACTTCCCTTACTCCTCCTGAAATGAGGGGTACCATAAGTTGGAGTAAGAAGTCCTCCAGCACAACATTATTTTGAAATAAAGGCTTGTAGTGTAGATGTGCACTATGTTATTTTGGAACGTCAGTTATTCCAAAATAACGCTGCTGTGTAGGTGTACCCTTAGAGAGCAGATGACACTTTCCTATCACCAGCTCTCAGGTGCCTCTGTTGGAGAGCAGTGATTAATCTGAGTGCTGTGTACCTTGTAGTAACAGTCCAATTGTTCCATGGAAAAAAGCAATGTCACCGGTGGATGATTTTCTCCACACAGTCTCTAAAGCACATGCAGTATTGTGTGAGGGAGGCTGAGGTAGCGGGGGTGTCAGACCAGGATGAATGTGCTGGTCTCTGGGGAAAGTGAGTGTGTAGCTTGTGCACTGCCTGCAATCTGCCAAAAATAGTAGGTAGAAAGTGTTTTCATTGGTGCTGGGAGAGGACGTTCCAAAGCCAAATATGGTCCAGACATCTTTTCTCTGTATTAAAAAGCTGCTTGTCATGAATAAGCCACAAAAATAAGCTTGTATCCTTTATCCCTATAAACACCCACTGTGTATAAACACATGTTTGTGCATTCACATTGTGTAATTGCTGATGCCAATGGCAGAACTTGATTGTATCCAGATTTTCCATTTGGGTAGACTCACGTTGCTATTTGCAATGTCACGGGTATCAGACTGCCAAATTGCTTCATGTCAAAATCCGTGGTGACAGAAGATGAAGATTAGAAAATAACCTTTGCTTGTAGTCATGCTTAAAAGTGTTGGCCCCTGAATGCCAAGTGGTTCCTGGTCCCCTTCATTAAAATATTACTTGGAAGGGGGGCCAGCACTAACGGGGGTAACTCAGAAGATTCTACCTTTGGTGCAATCTACCACACATCTTGACATTACAGATCTGAAATCCAGAGAGGCTATCCTGCTGTTCCACTACCTTAGGGCTATCCCCTATGTTCTTGTTAATGTGGGACCGAGGCTAGGTCTAGACTACAAGGTTTTGTTGGAAAAAGCAACGCAAAATGCACTCCACATTTTGTGTCGCTTTTCCCGATTCTTTTGTCGGAAGAGGCTTTTCCAACATTTGGCCCATCTAGACTGGGCTAAATGCCAGAAAAAAGCCCTCTTTCGGAAGCCCCCTTCCTTTCTTCCCTGGACACGATGGGTTTTTTTCAGGATACCTCTGGTATCCCGAAAAATTCCCATAGTCTAGACGTAGCCTGATGCACATTCTCCTGTGACTTCTGCAGCCCTGTTACTGACTCATTCTACCCAAATACGACACTGCTCCTGTCTCCCTCTGACTGTAGAACAAACATGACAAGTGACAGCTATTTCCTTAACTCAAAAGATGTTTTAAAATTAATGTTGATTCTAAAGTTAATGGAAAAACATAAAAACCAACAAATAGTCTAGAAGTACCTTAAAGACTAACAAAACATATAGATGGTATCAACCCACTTTGTACCCACAAAAGCTCATGATACCATCTATATGTTTTGTTAGTCTTTAAGGTGCTGCTAAGACTGTTCATTGTTTTTTCAGTTTTTCCAGTTACACGCTAACTTGGCTACCCCTCTGAAGCTTCTAAAGTTAATGCAGGGCTTACAGAAGAGCTGTCCTACTGGCTTAGACCATGTTATATTTTCCCAGTGTCCTATCTCCAGCTGTTGCCCTTATTAGAGTTGTAGGGAGAGTGTACAGAATAGGGCTAGTACAGAGTGCTCCTCCCATCTTCCTTTCCCTTCTTCTGGCAGTCAGAGGTGCAGGGCCTTCGCAAGCATTGGGTTGTGTCCACCCATCTTGGCCAATACCCACTGATAGCTCTAGCTCCATGAATGTATCTAGTTCTTTTTAAAATCCAGTTCTGGTCACCACAACTTCCCATGGCAGTGAGTTTCACACAGTAGTTGTGCATTGTGTGAAAAAGTACTTCCTGTTTGTATTAGTTTCATTGTATGATCCCTGGCCTTGTGTTTACATGCAGGATGGATAAAAATTAATGATTTAAAAAAAATTGATTTTTTTATTTTAAAAAACCATCAATAAAATACATTTCTCATTAAAAATAACAGTTACAATTAAATCTCATCACAAACATGATACTCCTACACACTCAGAAACATGATTAATGGCCCTAGACTGTCCAGCCTAACTACCAGCTCTTGCTTCTTGAAAGCTCTGGGCTTCCAATTTGTGTTTCTCAGCAGATGAAAAAAGTAACGTGCAAAGAAAAACACAGGCTGGAGAGGACTCTTTTTGTTCATGCTTATATGGTGGTGGACCTTGGCCAAGCACAGCAGAGAAGTTAAGACACGGTCTAAACACAGAGACAATATGTAGGAAAGGACAGACGCACACAGCTTCCTATCTTCCCCCACATTTTTGCCACAGAAACACTATCCTGGCTTCAGGGCATGAGAGGCCCTATCTGGGAATAATTTGAAGGATTTCGTTCTTTGAGTAAAAAAGCAAAACTTGTTAAGTATAAGTAGGGCAAAAAGAAAATGCAGGGCCTAGATGCAAGAATGAAACCTCACAAGGAAAATTGCTTATTGGGAGAAAATTATGTAGATGAAGATGTGGATATGGCTGAGTGGATCAACTGGCTAGTAGCTTAAGTAATTCACTTTGCACTGCATCATTCTTCAAAACTCCTGCTATGCCTTTTAGTATAAATGTGATTTGACAAGAAAATCTGCAAGCTGTTTGCTGTGTTGGATGTTGCTAGAAAAAAAGTTTAGCTTAGCTAATTTCTGTGGCTTCTTTAATTAGTTAATTAGGTTTAGAATCTTTCACCCAAGTATACAATACAGAAAACTGCAGTAAGAGAAATCTAGAGTTGCCAATTGCCACTGTCATTTTCTTATTTCAGCATAACTCAGCTTTTCCAAGGGAACCCCATTGTATGCTTGTTTTCTCAAAAAAACCACACAAAAAAACAGAAGTGCTAGTGAGTTCAATGGGGCTGACTGCAAAATTAAGTGCACTATAAGCATAGTCAGTCTCAGCTTTTTTTGGTAACTTGATTTAAACCAATGATTTTTGTGGTGATTTTAAATAAATAATTTAAATCAACGATTTAAATCAATCCACTCTGATTATATGAAAGGGTAGATAACACTTTATCTAGTCTCTTTTTTGGCAGATTTCCCAGTGTTTCAAACTTAGTTTCATTTTATTAATGCATTCCCTAAACATGTGCTAAATTGGGGGAGGGGGACTAACTTCCTCCAAGTTCACAGTGGCCTATGTGCAATGATGATGGAAATTCAGTGTAAATGTAAACAGAATTGTGAGCTGACACTGGTTCTGACCTTGACTATCTCCCTTGCACAACACACGGGAGAGAAAGAGGGATCGTGGAAGCACTGCTTTCTGGGACTGTAGCCCTCATAGGCTGCACCTCCTTTGTTAAACAGGAAGTGTGCTGCTATCCATTTGTTTGATGCAAACTGGTTGCCTCTTCTGAGTTTCTGGAAAACTGCTGAGTGATCCCTCAACTGGAGGGAAAATGTGGAGTTCCGTTCCTATAAACTGATGAATCAAATATATTAGTTTTTATGGAGAAAACTACCTTCCAAGTGTATCTTTCCCCTGGGGATGCCAGTTTTTCAATGCTCACCCATCAGACCACAGATCTATTTTTGTCCAAGTGTCATGAGACCAATGTGTTTTGTTTTTCCTCTAATGCCTGATTGGTTTAGCCACCCTTTCCACATCCTGTTGGAGAGCAGCCTCAGCTGGTAAGTCAATGCATATTAGATTAAAAGAACAGCAGCCTTCCCTCCCCCAGCCTGTGTACCCCACTAAGTGGAGCAGGACTTTTCTGAAACCTTCCTTCTAATGGGGAACATTTGCCCAAGTGATCTCATACTTTTGGCCCAAAACTTCTTGTTTTCTGCATCTCCAAATTCAGAGATAAACACAGAGCTGTCATGAAATGGGGCTATAAGGGCATGAGAAAGCATCAGCTCTGTCAGAATGAATGGAGGCTCCTCAATCAAATCCTCTAGCAGACTCCCATGCACTAGGCTTCCCAGAGATACACCCTAGGGTCTGCCAGAGGCAGGGATGCCAGAGCTGGAGGATCAGGGAACCAACCTTCATTTCCTAGAATCATTCCACAGCAACAGAGAAGCAATAGACAAATAAGTACTAGACTTCAGGATTACAAAGCAAAAATGTGTTGGGACCATCCCCAATTATTAGGTTTGAGATTCAGCAGCATTAATTCCTTGCTTGTCATCCCACCATGCACAGTGGCCCAGACTTATAACTAAGCAATGTGGGCAGAAATAATAAAATGTTCAGTACTCAAAGGTCAGTGTGTAGTGAAGCAAAGAATATGTTTCTAATGGCTCAGTGGAATCACAAATCATTTTAGTCTGCAGCAGTGTTCCACAGAACCTCTCTGGCAGCAGGGAAACCAATCCACAACCGATGCAGCAGCCTTATCCTATTGGAGAGAACTGATTAGAAGTCTCTTGGAACCATGTGTTGACTTTCTGGAATCCCATTCAGCAGTACATGCAATTGGCTTTTCTTCAGTTCCTCTTGTTGCACAGCATACTCTAATATCGGCGGTACCGCAAAGCAGAGAGTATTTGACAAAGATGCTGCAGTGTAGAGAAAAGTAAATTGCTTGTCATCTATTGGAGATCACTTAATGTCACTATTGCCTGTTGTCTATTTGGCATCTATGCTGAACATGGTTTGTGTGTTTTACACCTGTTTAAAGGGCAGACAAGTTGTGTTTCATATAAATGTATAATTTTATAGTGAGACACTTCAAAAGCCTGTGTCAGAGCCTCTAACATCCTTAGCTCAGCACTCAGATTTTCTGGTCTTCTGAAGTCCTGGCTGCAAAATGGTTCTTGGGTGGCTACTGTTGCTTTGCTTGTGCTGAATGCCTCAAGAGAGAGGCTAATGAGGAAAGAAAGAACGATAGACACCTTGGTTTGTGGTGGTGAGCCTGGGCCCCTAGGGACCATCAGACATGCTCTCTAGCACTGAGCTGTCTAAAACACATTCACTTTAATTTGTTCCATTGTTTTACCACAGAAGCTGAAAATGCAGTCGACAAAATACAGATCAGACAGAATATACCCAACTGCAGAGTCTGAGCGTCCAGAAAACATCAAGAAAAATCGCTACAAGGACATTTTACCATGTAAGTGGAAACAGCAAATTTGTCATTTAGCCTTTCTTACTGGTTACTGTCATACTAGCTTCTCCCTTCTCCCCTACCCAGTACATGCATATATACAGACATCAGTATGGAAGCCTAGCAGAAATGGGCTTGCATACACCAATGTAAATTATGCAGCACGCATCAAGATATGCATACGTAGAGGCATATGCTCTTCTATGCTTGTCAGATAGACATACCTGTGCATATATTCATGTGACCCTTCACAGACTAATTCCTAATATGCTTTGAATGCCATGACTAATATTTCAGATGTCACTTTTTAATATTTTAATGTATACACAGTTGTGGGAATGTATAGGCTATTCAGTGGGGGGAAATATTTTTTTCTTATTTATTAGTTAATTGTTACACAGCAGACTTTCATGTAAGGTGAATGCTGCCCAACTTCAGAGAAACTATATAAAGCAAGGCTTGGACAAAGATCTCTTTGGGGCATGTAAATTCCATGCAAGTTCTTCGGGGCAGAGACTGTCATACTGTGTACTTGACAGCCCTGAGGACTCGATGAAGGAATCACAATAAGAAATTATATTATCTAAACTGGGCAGAAGGTCAGATTAGATGATCATAATGGTCCCTTCTGGCCTTAAATCTACAAATTGTGAAGCCTCTAAGCACTAACAAGATACAATAATAATAATAATAATAATAATTACTCCTTTCTCTCTCCCTCACAGTTGATCACAGCAGAGTGGAGCTCTCTCTCATCACATCAGATAAAGATTCTCATTACATAAATGCCAACTTCATCAAGGTATTGCCTGGTTTGTGGAACATATTTTCAAGTGCATCACATTGGGCTGTGAAAAGGCAGCTCACATGGCAGTGCTGCATGGAATGAGCGGAGAGTGACAGGCTGATAAAAAATAAGTACCAGTCCGGGGAGAGCTCTGTCCCCTCTACATTGGCTACGGAGTGGCTTACAATGGTGGAGGTGATAATAAAATTGGGGAAAATTAAGAAGGCTTTTGAGAATGCTCCACAGCAATAGCCCCTAAAATGGTCAGAAAGACAGGCTTTGGTATATGAGAAGTGCATGATCTCGGGGAAGGGAGCAATTTCAGATTACAGCACCAAGCTCAGAGCCCTGTGTCCCCATTACATTTATATGTATATATTCAATGGAAAGAGACTCTACACTGCCTGCTACGAGCTAACACCACTGTTCAGGCAGGAAGCTCTGCAACCACATCAGTGCTGAGACCCAGTTACATCAGTAGAACTCAAGGTATCTGTGGCCAGCAAGAGATGGGGGCAAGTCAGTACCTCATTCCTCCATCCCTACAGCTTTGTTCAATTTGTAAACTCCTTTCCCCTTGCTGTGGTTGAAACAAAGATGTTTCTTTCCATCTGTGCCAAGCAATGTTGCCTAACTGTTCTGTACAGAGCACAGACCATGTCAAATGATGCCTGGTCAGGATATTAACAAGTAGAGATATGCTCAACTGTAAAACATGGACCCAGATTAGTATTTTGAACATTTATCACCAAGTTCCTCCCTAAAATAGATGCTCTTTGGAAGTGAGGAGGGGTGTTTGTTCCAAACCCATCTCTCAATATCAGAGGAGAACAGTAGATTCTACTTGTTAGCTATTGACTGGACTATAGTCAGTCCAACTGGTGGTACCATAGGGGCTAAAATACATAGCTTTTCAGAGAACCAGACAAAAAGCTGAAGGAACTACACTTGTCCTCGTCATTAAAGTACAATAGTACTTCCATATAAATGCAGTACAGCTGTACATTGATTCTTTTTCTGCTTAGTGCCCATACAATTGACATATTCATATGCAATTTGAATTTCATTTTAGGGGGTATATGGGCCAAGGGCTTATATAGCAACCCAGGGTCCTCTCTCCACCACTGTTCTTGACTTCTGGAGGATGATTTGGGAATATGAAGTCCTGGTAAGGTGCAGATCCGTGCTTTCTGTTATATATTTTTTACAGCTTTGCAATACACTCCATATGTGTTTGTGTTACTGGCTGGACAATGGGCATGTGTTCTTGTTGTTCCAGGCTCATGACTTGTGCTCTGTGGTCACTGTATCTTTCATGAGGGTCTTTATCCTAAACAGTATGATGGACAAGTATTGTCTCATGACAGTCTTTCATGGGAGAGCTTTGGAACTGAAAGGTCTCTGGCACCCATGCTGTAAACACTGTCCAAATTTTGGCTAGTCAAGAAACATGAGAGAGAAAAGGCCTTATGTGGCCCAATTTTTTTTCTCACAACTGATAAATGTCCCCAAATGCTACTTAACTATCACATCTAAAATCTTGATAGAAATGTAGCCGTGTTAGTCTGGGGTAGTTGAAGCAAAATGCAGGACAATGTAGCACTTTAAAGACTAACAAGATGGTTTATTAGATGATGAGCTTTCGTGGGCCAGACCCACTTCCTCAGATCAAATAGTGGAAGAAAGTAGTCACAACCATATATACCAAAGGATACAATTAAAAAAAAATGAACAAATATGAAAAGGACAAATCACATTGCAGAACAGAAGGGGGATGCGGGGGGGTGGGAAGGGGGAGGAAGGAAGGTAAGTGTCTGTGAATTGCTGATATTAAAGGTAGGGAGAGTGGGATGTTTGTGAGTTAATGGTATTACAGGTGATAATTGGGGAAACTGTCTTGATAATGGTAATTGAACTTTCTCACCCATTACCAAGACAGTTTCCCCAATTATCACCTGTAATACCATTAACTCACAAACATCCCACTCTCCCTACCTTTAATATCAGCAATTCACAGACACTTACCTTCCTTCCTCCCCCTTCCCACCCCCCCGCATCCCCCTTCTGTTCTGCAATGTGATTTGTCCTTTTCATATTTGTTCATTTTTTTTTAATTGTATCCTTTGGTATATATGGTTGTGACTACTTTCTTCCACTATTTGATCTGAGGAAGTGGGTCTGGCCCATGAAAGCTCATCATCTAATAAACCATCTTGTTAGTCTTTAAAGTGCTACATTGTCCTGCATTTTGCTACATCTAAAATCTGACTCTCTCCCCTGGTTAAGAGACATTAAGGCTTTTCTATACTTTATTTTTACAGATTGTGGTTATGGCCTGTATGGAGTTTGAAATGGGGAAGGTGAGTAATGTGTCAGAGCCTGTGACTTGGTATCACCAGTGGGAGGAAGAATGTGCGTTTCCACTGGATTTCACTAAGAATTTGTGCGGATTTAGAAATCAGTGAATAGTTAGTATCTGGAGACTGCACATGGTTTTGTTCAATCATCTCCAAACTGGTGAGATTGGAGTGAAATTAGTCTCTGCAACAGAGAGGTCTCTGTAGTCCATACACTGATGATCTTGGCTCACTCCAGCAGCCAAGCAGGTGCTTGGATTTCAGAAAATGGTGCAGTCTCTTTGGAGAAATTATGTATTGGGAGTAAGGAAGACGGAGACCAGAGTCAGCTCAGCAGCAAAAACCATGATTTTGGAAACAAATAACTGTCCATTGGGGAAGACAAGGCAGGCGGCATGGTTCGCAGGTGTACAGACAAATAACCATTGACTCTTCCTGCTTTTTACAATAGAAAAAGTGTGAGCGGTACTGGGTTGAGGTGGGTGACTCCCCACTACAATGCGGTCCTTTCACCATCGCTTGTGTAAGTACATCAGCCTTTTCCATCTTGCTTAAAAATATTCCACAATCTCTCATACTCTTTATGGAAACCACCGTCATATATCTGCAGAAAGTGACTAATGTATTGCTTCTGCAGGAATTGGAGGAAAAGAAAAATGAGTATGTGATTCGGACTCTAAAGGTGACACTGAACAACGTAAGTAGGGAAATGGCCTTGCAGAAAGAGCTTTATTCTAATCAAATGGTATCACTGTTGATTGCAGGAGATACGGGGTTTCTATGGTAAGCTTTGAAAGAGCTGCCAATATTCCACAGGTGTTATTTTTTTATTCCATAGTGATTACAAGACAGTAAAAATAGCCAAGTGAGCAAATACTAATTTCTTCAGCTGTTTTAGCTGAGAGACAAGTGGATTATTCTCTGGATAAAGAAAAAACATAGGACTTGCCTATACTTTAAAAAGCTGCACAGAGCAGCTATGCTACTTCAGTGATGACACTACAGTAGAAGCTCAGAGTTAGGGATACCAGAGTTACAAAATGACCAGTCAACCTCATGTCTCATTTGGAACCAGAAGTATGCAGTCAGGCAGCAGTCAAAACAAAGAAAAAATAGCAAATACAGTACAATAGTGTGTTTTTTTGAAAGGAAAGCAGCCCTTTTCTTCTGCTCAGTAAAGTTTCAAAGCTACATTAGATTATTGTTCACTTGTAAATTTTTTAAAGAATAATGTTTTGATCAGAGTTGCAAACATCCTCCATTCCCAATGTGTTTGTAGCTTTGAGGTTCTACTGTACTTACACAGAGGGGCTCTCCCATCAGCGTAGGAAGTCCCCTGAGAACCAGCAGTGGAATCAAAGAGAGAATTCTACTATTAACCTAATGCGATCTATGCTAGATCACAAAGGGGTGTGGGCTTTTCATACCAGTTGCTATACCAGTCTCATTTCCTAACACAGACCAGGGCTTTGCCTCATTGTTCACTCTGTAGCAGGCAATATAGAGTGCCATATAAAATGGAAGGCCTAAGAGAATAGTTAGAGTGACACACAGGCTTATGTGCCAGAACTATAGTGTAAATTGGTACTTGTGAGGGTGTAGAACATATTGACTTTCATGCCTTTTTGATCTTGGAATGGTCACCAATTTGTAGACTCTGTTCCCACATGCAATCTGAGATAAGGGGCTTTCTCCTCATGTAAAACAAAACGGCTTGCCTTAGCTCCTCCTCTTTCTTGTCCTTTACAGATAATTCGCACTATTTATCATTTCCATTATAAAAACTGGCCAGATCATGATGTACCTTCCTCCATCAGTCCTATCCTTGAGCTTATCTGGGATATGCGCTGCTATCAGGCAGATGACGACATCCCCATATGTATTCACTGCAGGTAAGTGGGTTTTACTAGCAAGGTAAATGCTGTTATTTGGCCCCAAGTGAATGGAACAGCTTCTTTCTCGCTGCTTTTTGAGATTCTGTTTAGGCAGGTATTAAAGGGCCTCTGGCACTTTTTAAAGTCTCTGGTCAAATCCCCTCTCTGAGGAGAGCAAATTCTAAAACCAGAGGCTGTATCTGAGCAGACTGGATGTCTAGATGTAGAAAACACCTGGCTAATTTGCCTGTACTTTTGAATATATATTTGCATTTACAACCCAAGAAAAATATTATCAGTCCCCATGCATCAGCTGATCACACAGGGGTTATGGAAGGAATTTGTTCAAGTGCAATATGGGATTTTTCACCCTTCTGCAGCTAATCACTCAACATTGTGTGGTGGACTCAGGGAGGGTACTGGTTTTAATGTACAAATGGTCTCCCATGATCTGGCAAATCTACATGCCTATTGCCAAGGGCAGATGAGCTACCACGTTTGTTTGCAGAGAAGCAATCCTGTGTGGAAGTGATGCTCTGCATAGTGCTCTGAGAGTGAGTAAGGTGATAGAGTTCTGCATTTAGTACATGGCTGAAATGAACAAGGCCGTGTACTGGTATCAGCATCTAGCATTATTAAGGTATCATTTCAGGGTGGCTCAAGGATAGGAACTGTTATGATATGACATGATTATGGTTGGAAAATACAAGTGCTAGGCTTAGGTAATGTGGTCTTGCATCAGATGCAGAACAATAATATTGATCTATGAATAAAACCACAGAAGTGGGAGCAGAATGTCCGAGAATAAGTGAAAGCAACGCCCCTCCTCAAATCTCAGTAATCCCTCAGGGCTCTAGTTTTCATTTCAGTGCTGGCTGTGGGAGAACAGGCGTTATTTGTGCCATTGACTATACCTGGAAGCTACTGAAGGATGGGGTAAGTGTCTCAGAAGTGCCTGGGATCTGTCTTCTTCTGCATGCCCTCTAGTGCTTGCTTTTTACCCTAGGCTCTTTTACTCCTCAAAGTGCCTGTGTCTGGGTCATGCTCAGTCTTTTTTGAACCATATTCCCAATGACAGCAGATTCTCTTGCTGCCTTTGGGTGTATTTCACATGCTGATTCTCTCATAAACTCCCTCTGTTTCACAGTGGTGCTGGAGCAATTTTTCCAGTGGAGGGTACTAAAGGCAGAAAGCATGTCTTTGGGTTGTTCTTACTATTTCAAGCCAGGGCATGCAGCAGCACCCCGAGTTCCAGCCTATGCTGGTCCAACTCTTCAAGGCAGTTTATTAAACTCCATGCCCGGTTATATGTTGTCCTAATTTCACTTTGCTTCTTCCTCCTCCATGCTGTTGACTGTTCCTCCCAGACTTGTGTTCTTGTCACATGCTGATATGAACAGCTCCTGAGGCCTTAGAGCAGGGGTCTCAAACTCCGTTTACCTTAGGGCCAGTGCCAGTTCTCAATTCCTACTAGTAGGCACCCATCTCTAGCAGGGCTCAGAAAGAGGTGGGGGTCTCTCCGAGCCCTGCCTGCTGGCCTGCATGCTCCCCCACCCCACATGCTCTCCAGGTAGTCTGAAATCCCCCTGGCACCATGGAGCATAGCAGGGCTAGAGTAGCTTCTGGCTGCCCCTGTGGCCCAGTGGAGTTGTGTACAGAATCGTGAAGCAAAGCCACCAGGCTGGCCCGAGAGATGGCAGCAGAGCAGAGCAGAGGCATTATTCTGCTTCCCTGTGGCTCCTCCCACCACCACCATGAGTGCAGGGACGCTGATCCCTGCTGCCTTGTGCAAGACCTCCCAATAACTGCTGAGGTCACGTCTCTCGGGGAAGGAGGCTTGAGAAAAGTGATGCCATGGGGGTGAGAGGGCAAAGCAGGGGCCGAAAGAAGCAGGATGGGGGCAGAGGAGGGGCTTGGCTTGGGGAAAGGGTATAGACACTCCTGGGGGCCACAGGGACTCTCATGCCAGCAGTAGCAGGCGGGCTGGATTGTGGAACTGCTCAGGACCAATGGCCTATGAGCCATGAGTTTGAGACTCCTGCTTTAAAACAACCTAAGACACAGAGCCAATGAAGGGCCTTTTCCCTTTCCTGCCCTTTTACCTGGACTGCAGGACACAGAGTTTTGCCACTGCTCTGACTTCAGTTGTTAAACTGGCTTTTTGCCTACAATACTGTGCCTGGCTGCAATCCTGATCCTTTGTCCTTTTAGTATAAGAAATTTAGGCTTCTAAAATGTCATTGCTTTCAAAGTGAAGTAATTTCTGGATGATTATCTCGATGCAGAATCCTCAATGTGACTATTTTCTTCATCACTGTTACACTAAATCAATCCATGTAGATCACAATTCAAAGCAGATTGCCACAAATGCAGCTTCTCTTTGCACCCATGGAACTTGCATTTGTGTCTCATGCTGTTGTCAGAGAAGGGAATGCCTCCTAATGAGTGGAAGCTGGGAGGGAATATGTGAGAAGGGAAATGATTTTTCACAAGGAAATAATCACAAGCTGTAAAGGTTCCTTGTAGTGATGGGCCTGAAGTTTGTATCCAGGTCTGAACTGCACCACCATTTGGGGGTAGTTTAAGTTCAGATCCATCTCTAATTCTCATGATCTCTCTTTCATAAGATTGTTCCAGAGAACTTCAGTATTTTTAGTCTGATCCAGGAAATGCGCACACAAAGGCCATCAACAGTGCAAACCAAGGTATGTTCAGAAAGCTACAAGATACTTCCAGTCCACTGCTACTAAATGCTTGCTATAAAACCAGACCCATAACCTCTCTTTGGGGTTTGCAAGAATTAAACTTGTATTATTACCCTGTGGGGTAAGTCCCTCTATGGAGAAGGCATGTGGCTTAGTATTTTAAAAGACCCCTTTCTCAAGGGAAGCTTATTAGGAAAAATCAAATGAGTACATGATGATGTAGCTTAGTACTTGTGGCTGAAACAAGTTACTGTCCAGAAAGTGAAACAGATTTCAACTGGGATATACTGAAGAGGATGCTCAGCACACAACACAGTCATACTTGTTCAGTTGATATTAACACACACTCATACTTTGACCATTTGAAAACAGCAGCTACAACCCCTTCTGAGAATTCACCTAACATAAAGACTGGAATTTCCAGCAGTGTAAGAGCTAATATGTTGAGTGGTTCAGATGAACTGAATGCGTTCTGAAGTGGAGAAGTGGATGCGTGTAACGGGGGATGCTGTAACTGGGGATGAAACAAAAAACAGGACTATGTAGCACTTTAAAGACTAACAAGATAGTTTATTAGGTGATGAGCTTTCGTGGGCTAGACCCACTTCCTTTGTTCTGTTTCCTATTAGGAACAGTACGAGTTGGTCTATGATGCTGTGATTGAACTCTTTAAAAGACAGATTGAAGTGCTCACTGACCAGGTAGACTCTACTACCACAGAGGTAAGATTGGCCATCAATACATACTTCCTTTAGCTGTCCTTTTATGTCTGAGATACAATAAAGGAACACTGTTGCTGCTCTTGTATATTTAATTGTTATATTATGGTTGCATGAACAGGCTCCAGTCTGTGTAGTTGCTTGCATGGCCCCCAGAACTGTAGTATGAGAACATCACACACACATTATTGTATTCATACTCATTAACCATCTACAAGGGCAGACAGATTACAGCCAAACAGGAGTCTATGGCAAAGACTGAATCCAAATCTCTAGAATTCCAATGAAGTGCTTTGAGCACAAGCTCGCCTTTCCTTTGATTATGAAATTCCTATTACTATAGCAATATGCAGAGGAGGGCTCTATTTGCTTTTTGTGTAATTGTTTGTTATAATGAATGAATAAAGAATTAGCTTCCCCAAACAGTCAATCTCGATGGGTTGATTTCTTGTAGGCATTCCAGTAGTATTGGGTCTTGAGGAGGGATCAGATAGAGCAGAGTGTAGTTTCCTTATGAATTAGTTCAGGAAGGCTGTCCATGTGTACTGAGCATCATGGATGAAAGTTTCAGAATATTAACTGGAGAGATTGGCAGTCAAGTTGGCATCATTGGCCAAATGTGATAGAGGCAAAAGCTAGTATTAACATTCTCTTGAGAGATTCCATACAGGCAGAAGCAGCTGTCAAACCAGGATTGGCCTTGTGTCTCTCCTCTCCATTAGCTTTGATTAGAATCCAATTATATAAAAGAAGCCCCAAATTTCCCTGAGAAGAATCTACTGTAAGAGAACAAAACACAAGGTTCTGCTTCCAACAAAGTAGAGAGTAGTTGCACTAGGTAATGCCCGTTAAAACTAACTTCTGGAAGAAGAGAGGCTAAAATGTCCAGTGAAAATGTTCATGTAAATTCCTCATCCAAATCTTTTCAAGCCCTACGCACTAGTTATAGAGGATGAAGAGCCTGAGTCTGAATTTGTGTGGTCACATCTCATTTGAGTTAAACACTTTTTAATTTTGATCTTTCTTTTGTTATAACTCAAATATGGCATATTTGGCTGTCTGTAAACATCCTGAAATAAATTCATTTCTAAATACAGACTGAGAAACTTCAGCAACAAGAGGGTGGCAATAGGGTTTACAAAGGAAAACATCTGGCAGATTCAGCAAAGGACCTAAAACTGTCTCCACAATAAAGCCCAACTTCCAAATTGAGCCCTTTAAAATATGTACGAGTTTGCTGTAATAAGTTGGTATTTGCAGAGGCTTCTCAGCCAGGCTTCTTTGAACAAATTGTGAGAGTCAGTTTCCTTTACTTGAGCTGTGGACAGTCACATGGTTAGGTGCAGATATGAGGCCAGGTTGAGATAGAAAGCAGAGAAACCCTTAAGTCCGGATGTGGTTTTTATAGCTCTTGGCCAAACCTCCTAGGCTGCAAAGACCTTGCTGCCCTTTGAAAATAATTAACTAAAAAAGAAGGGTATGGGCGCACAACAGTGTCAAAAGCAAAACCAACTTCCACTAATCAGATAGCATGTGGATCCTAGAAGCAAAGCCAGCTGCACAGACTCTGCAAACTTTCTGGGGAAAAGTTTGATTCTTTCAAAAACATATAACGCATCTTCAAATAAAACTGTCTGTCTCTGCTGATCCTGAATTTTCATTTCCAAACAATCAGTGGTAGCTAGAGGTTGACAGAGCCAATCTCCAGGAATAACAAAGTGAAATGAAACCTCATGTATAGTTTGCATGCTTCCCCAACAGTCTTGTTGCAATATGAGTGCTAATCTTCTCTTTCAACAGATTCGAACAAACCATCCAAAGCTCCAGCCACTTCTGACCTCACTAGAAGAAACTTACTCTTTGAGTCTACCAAGCTGGTAAGAGGAGGTCTAATCTAGACACAGATAATGCAAGTGCTATGAAATAACATTATGTAATCAGCGAGAGATGTGGTTGTTCTAGCACTTGGATTCTGTGTCTGTATACAAAACACTGAAACAAAAACAGACCGTTTTTTAGGGAGAAACAGATATGCTAATTGCCTACAAAGATTCAGGTACAAATGACCATTTCCTATGGGTCTCTTTTTTGATATTTTTAGAAGGAAGACTGATTTTGATTTGTGTCTTCTGTATTGATTAGGAAAACATTTATTTTTCTATCTGGTAAAATTCACCCATGCAGATGAGTCAGCATAGGCTTATTCATCGTTTAAGCTCTCAAAGTAGGCTGCAATCAAGACTTCACTGGTTGATATGTAGACTGTAGGCTCACTGCACAGGGTCATCTTCCCTCTAAATACATGGCAGGAACTTTTGGACACTTGCTCTTGTATGCACTTGGAGACTGGAATGCTGTGGGGCTCTGTTTATATAGTGATTTCTGAGCAGTACATCGTTCTACTCTCATATAATTGTACTTTATTGCAGCTCAGCACAAGAGGAACAGGAACTTCACCCACATTCTGATTGCACGGTACAAGGGGAAATGTCACCACTGGCTGATGCATCAGACTATAGGACCTCAACAATGCATGGCAACTATTGGCACAGTGTTCCTCATGTTAGACAAGCCCTGTCTTCTGGGGCCCTGAACTTCAGTAGCAGCAAAAACGTAGCTGCTGCTGTGAAATGGGACACACTGCTGGCAGGGGAACCGCTCCAAAAACATCACAGCTTAGACTTGAACAGAATTTTTTCCGACGAGTTTCCTGTGAGCTTGAAATCTACAGCTGCATCTAGTGTCAAGGCCCCATTAATACAAACCAAATCAAGTCCCTTGGAGTTAATGCAGCAGAGAGATGTCCCGGAACTGGATGGAGAGGATGCAGTAACCTCTTTGGGACCCCAACTACCAAGCTCCTGCTATTCTGTGGGCTCTGAGGTTAAGAAACAGACAGGCTTTTCTTCTGTTGAACTGAACCATTCAAGCAGACTAATAGATGTTCCCCTGCGGCACCTGAGCAGTAGCCCACATCCTTCCTCATATTGTTTCTCGGCAGAAGACCCTTACTTTTCTTCACTCTCTTCAGATGATCCAGGGTCCCCGATGTTTACTGACTGCTTTTCGCAATTGCATGAAACAGTTTCCCCTCCAGTGTCAACTCCTCTGTCCCAGCATATTCACTCACAGGACGGCAAGCAGACATCCCCACAGAGTAAGCTGTGTGGCAAGTGTTGCCAGCTGAGTTCACTTATTCTGAGGTTTTACCATTTGGTGTGTGATGCCTTTTTGAAATTCACACAGATTTCCAATAGCCTGTTCTGTTTTAGAATCCAGCTTTCCCACTCACCTATATAAGGGATTCAGATGTTCCTTCTAACATTTGTGGAGAGTAGAACTTGGCATCAAACTATTCATTATGCCTCAGTTTTCTATAGAAATTACCATCATTCTCTGAGGTCGCATGACCATCAAAATCCGTCTAGTATTCTGCACTATGCGGACAAATTAGAGAAGGTCTTCAGAAGAGCAACCAAAAGGATTAAAGATCTAGAAAACACGACCTATGAGGGAAGACTGAAAGAACTGGGTATATTTAGTCTAGAAAAGAAAAGACTAAGAGGGAGTATAACAGCTTTCAATACCTGAAAGGATATTACAAGTAGAAGGGAGAAAAATTATTCTCCTTAACCTCTGATGATAAGACAAGAAACAACGGGCTAAATTGCAGCATGGGAGGTTTAGGTTGGACATCAGGAAAAACTTGCTGTCAGGGTGATCAAACACTGGAATAAATTGCCTTGGGGGGTTGTGGAATCTCCATCGCTGGAGATATTGAAGAGCAAGTTAGAGAAACATCTGTCAGGAATGATCTAGATGATGCTTAGTCCTGCCATAAGGGCAGAGGATTGGACTTGATGACTTCTCAAGGTTCTTTCCAATTCTATGATTCTATAATACCATATCACCTCAGGTTGCTGTGACCTTGGTAGATGTAATACGATAACTAAGGCTGGGTTTGGTTAGTACTTGGATCGGCTCTGCTTACTTCATGGAAAACTTCAAGGGAGCTGTAGGAAGTGGTTTTAGTGACTCTACTAAAGATCCCTGTCCTCAGTCATTTAATGATTCAGTAATTCTTTCTGAAAAAGTCCTAAATGGAAACCTTGGGGGAAATACTGTCTTTATTGTAGTTAGTGACAAAATTCCCACTGAGGTCAAGTTTATATTGGTGGAGAAAATTAATGGAAGATATGCGACTCCAGCTATGTGAATTGTGTAGCTGGAGACGATGTACTTTGTATTGATTTTCTGGAACTGCAAGGAATTCCAAAGTCAACAGGGGCACTCTCAGTGTTCTAGTTAGTGGGTTATTGCCAGACCTGTTAAATTGAATGCCGGAAGATCAACCTCCAGAGTTTCGATCCTCTGTTTAGTACAGACATGGTCTGAGCTAAATAAGACCAGGATTTCACCTTTGGTGTCCTGGCTGCTGAACTTAAGTGTGAAAAGTTACATTCTATCCACATAAAATGTACTCCATAATTTTCATTGTGTACAAGATTGTTCTCTTCATGTCCAGTGCAATATTTATCAGTTACTTTGGATTTGCTAGAGAGAGAGCAAAAAATAAATAAAACTAAAACCATCTTTGCCCTGTTCATACTCTTTATGACCCAGATGTCAAAAGTGCTCTGAAATCCTCCATTACTAGAAATTCTCCAGCTTTCTGTGGCATTTTAGATCCTTAATGCCTGATGAGAGGTGTTACACTAGAATTGCAGAAGCTACTCACACAACTTCCAACTAATAGTAACAATGTTACTTTTAAGTTTATGCATGTTAAATATGCATATGAACTGATCCTGCAACATAATGGGAGTTCTGCTGCTCACACTGGTCGCAGCAGGCACACAATTTTATATTTACCTAGAGCAAGTGACAAACTTATTAGAATATACTCAGATTTTTTAAATCAGAGTTTTAGAAGATTTTGACCACAATCTGTGGTGCCTTGTTGGATATCAGAAGTCAGGGCTCAACGTGGATTGGTTTTCAAACTCTGTGGATTGTTATAGGGGAATCGCTTACAGCCTGGGGAAAAGGAGATGATTTTTCCTTGGCAGTAGATGGACTGTCAACAATAAGCTGCATGCCGTACTTGACAAAAACATAATCACCACCCCACAGACCATTGTGGATATTTCAGAGGACCCTAAGGGTACATCTAGACTTACTTTCACTTTCAAAAGAAGATATGCAAATTTGGCAGTAATTTTCATATCTTTTTCCAATTGCTTTTTTGAAAGAGCGCTTTTCAAAAAAGCAAGCAGTCTAAATGTGGTTCTTTCGAGAAAAAAAAAACTTTTCTTGAAAGAACCTGTAAACCTCAATTTTTCCGGCAAAGCTCCAAGCTGAAAAAAGGTTTTTTTTTTTTTTTTTTTTTAAAAAACCCCGGTTAAC